ACCACCACCACCAGACACCACTCATGGACTCAAGGAACTGTGTCCAGAACACACAGATGCCCACAGATGTACTGTCTCACCTGCAGATACAGGTGCACTCATGATACACATACACGTGCACACATACACACTCAGGTGTATGCTCATCTCATAGTAGACAAACTCAGTCAAAGATAAAACATCCAGTCTCAGAGACAGAAACACAAACATTGCACACACTTGTCACGCACACACATACACACACCGCTGCAAGGACAAAAGTGAAACAGACTTTGTGTTCTGATCCTGATGTTGCTCCTACGTGCTGTGTGGCTCAAGGCAAACCCCTGCCCCACTCTGGGCCTCTGAGCGGACAGGACTGCACAGGTCTGCTGTCAAATCCTTGCCACACGGACAGCCCATTATTCTGCAAGGCTTTTCCAACTGCAGGCATGTTTTCTCTGCCTGCCTCTGTCCTGTCGGCCTTTGGTTCTCTCTACATCTCTGTCTCTGTCCATCTGTCCTGTCTCTGACTCTCTACTTTTCTATGTCTCTCTCTCTCTCTCTCTCTCGCTTTGTCTCACTCTGTTCTTTCTGTCTCTGATTTGGTCTCTGCCTTTTTCTGTCTCATCACTGAACCTCTATTTCTTGTCTTTGTCTCCTTTTATCTGGCTGTGTCTTTCTGTCTGTGTCTTCCTCCATCTCTCTCTCTCTGTCTGCTCTGTCTTCACTCTCTCAGTCTTACACATACATACACAAACACACACTGTCACTCACAGAGCCCCTCCGACCCCCAGCCCCCCAGTCCTTGGGTGATAGACTCGTGCTGCAGTGGGTGTGGAGCTCAGCAGCGGGGGAGAGCTAAAAGTGAGTAGGGAGGACAAGCAGGAAGGAGGGAAGAGGAACCATGCCTCCTTCAACCTCGCATGCCGCACCAGGAACTGGCGCCCCCACCTGCCCTCTGATCCCACACAGTTCCAGAGGAACCTCAGCTTGGAGATGCTCCATTCCAACTGCCTAGTTGCAGTGAGGAGAAAACTGAGACTCAGAGAAGGGGAGCCAAAGGTCACACAGCCATTGGAGGACAGAGCAGAACTGGAACCCAAGGCGTTGGGATCCCCAGTTGGAAGCTCCCTCCAACAACCTGGCCTTAAATCCCAGAACCCCAGTGGCCCGTTTGGCATGGGCTAGGACACCATCTTTCCCCACAAACCTGAATACCACAAGGTTGTCTTGGTCTTCTATTTGGCCAGGGTTGCTTCCCATCTCCACTGTGATGTTCCGGACCCCAGACCACCAGCCACACAGGGAGGGAACTCTGAGTGCCTCCTAAAGCCTGATGTCACCCTCTTCCCCAGGCCCTGCTGCTGGTGGCGGCCTTGGCGGGCCTGGGCTTGGGCCTGAGCCTCATTTTCATCACTGTCTACCTCATCCGCTTCTGCTGCTGCCGGCCCCTCGAACCCCCAGGGTCCAAGAGCCCCCCACCCGGGGGAGGCTGTGTCACCTGGAGCTGCATTGCCGCCCTCCTCGTCGGCTGGTAATGGGGCCCTAGGGTGGGTGGGAATTGGGGACAAGTCTCCCCAAGCTCTCTGCCAGCCTTCCTGGTGGTGTCCTGGGGCATGGGAGTAGAGACAGGAAGGAGGAGACTACCCCCCATAGAGTCCCACTTCAGCCTCCCAGCAGGGAGAGTTGCTCCCATTTGATGGATGGAGAAACTGAGGTTCCAGAGAAGTGACTTTCCCAAGGGCAGCCAGACTGGCAGGAGGGAGCAGGGTTAAGAGCTTTGGCAGCAGTGGTCAGACTGCCTGGTCTTGGTAGCTCTCCCATTGAATAGCTGTGCAACCTAGGGGAGTGACAGCATCTCTCTGGGCCTCAGTTTCTACGTAAGTGTAAAATAGGTATGGTAAGATCAAATGCGAAAGAGCACAGGGTCTGGGTCACAGTTGTACTCAGTAAATATTCACTAGTAATATCACTCATTCATTCATTCACTCATTCATTCATTCAACTATTTATTGAGTATCTACTATGTGCCAGATACTGAATAAGTCAGGCAAGAAGCTCCTCTTGTAGTATATATGCTAATCAGGGAGATAGTCTATAATAAATGGATATTTACAATCCAAGAGCACCTATTCTGTGGCCAAACCTGAGCTTGTCTAATTCCTTCTCACTATAACTCTACTGGATTCAAGGTTGTCATGCCCACTTTTGAAAGAGGAAAGCTCAGGAAGAGACAGCCAGC